TGAAAATATACAGTAAGGTTCCATATTACCACCCGATTTTCTCTAAGCCTACTTTCGGACTTTTTGTACAAAAGCCTTCAAAAACCATACTTATAATTACACTAGCGAAAAATCCAATTAGGAACATTTAGTTTACTAGTTACCAGTACTTTTCGCACAAAAAATGTGGGTGTAGTTATGATACCTTGTTTACAATTCACTAAAATGTAATTGGGGTTCCATAATACCACCTTCTCCTCTAATTATTTATAATAACTGATCAATTTCTCATTGATCATTTAAAATCTTTAAAATATGTATTGCTATTAAATATTATTAATATTCAGGTACTGTACTTTATTATAATTAGGAATAACTTTTGTAAAATCACGACATAAAGACGTAGTTTGACATACTAAACAGTGCAAAATTAAATTATAAAAATGAGAAAACACTTTAAAACCGTTAAAGTATCGTCAACCATTTTCTCTGCAGTCAGTTTACTTCTTTATGCGCTTTTTCTCTTTCAATTTGTATATTACGCTTGCTTTTGCATATAAAACGGATCATCTTTGAACCATAAGCTTCATCGCCTCAGATAATCTGCAAATTGCATGGGCATGTTTAAAGCAGGAACTACACCAATGAGCTCCACTAGTTTCATTTTGGTACACTGGACGGTTTCTTAAGTTGGCAACTCAACACTTGGGCGATCTATATCTTCTGGGAAGTCTTTTTAAGGGAAAATGGCCCATATTTAGGTGTTATAGACGTGGAGAAAACCCGAGTTTTCTCCACGTCTATAACACCTAATAGGGGCCATTTTCCCTTAAAAAAGACTTCCCAGAAGATATGTAACGGAAAATTCCACGTGACCAGACGGTTCGAGTGAGGCGCGAACCCACGACCGAACTCCCAGTGTTCAGGGTATGAAGACCGCTTGGCCACTGGTGGGCTGGACAGGTTAGATCAGTTGATAAATTTTCATTATTTTCTGTGGTTATTGTGTTATAAAAGGTATTTTCATTAATAAAATTATCAGAACTATGCAATGCCCATTGTGAAATATCATATGGAATGTTTTCTACGCCTTTTACAACTTTTAGATCACTGTTGGCAAGGTTCTCTAGCTCCTCGGTTTCAATAGATGAAAGAATATTATCAGGAATACCAGAATTTTGTAAACAAGTTTTAGGCTCGATAAGGTGATCTGCCAACGGCTCGATAATACTATGCATTTTTTGATATTGCACAAAATAGCACCCAATTCACCATTTTGTCAAATTATTGTCGCGGCATCCAAGATCTAAGCATATTTTTGACATCTTGGTTATTGCGTTCTATATTACCTTGTGTCTGTGGATGTCGAGGACTGTTATGCACAATTTTACATTCCGGCCACATATTTACAAGTTCTTCGAGGATTTTTGCGGTGAACTCCTGGCCATTGTCACTGTTAGATATATGGAGCTCCAAACTGTAAAAAGTTTTAACAGTTCCACAGCTATTTCAGACGTCTACTTTGATTAAAGTGGTCTAAGGTGTAAATATTTAGAATTATTTTGGTAGTTTAACAGCCATTTATACTCTTCATTTGGTACTGACTGTAAATCAATTAAATCGAATGCCCACGTACTGTACATTAAAATCTTTAGAAACTCTATTGGTCAGTCACAATACTTTTCTTAGGTGGGCATTGCGTTTGGTTTACAGGTAGGACATAACGCAACAAATATTTCAACTGCTCTTTTGTATATAAAATCTGTTTAATACTATATAGAATTTTGTCACGACGACCATGTCCACAGGATTTCTGAATCTCCATCAATACATCAAAATACTGTTCAGTAGGTATGACATGTACCGTAGGATCTTCAGGTAACATTTTCTTAAAAATGAGATAATGTATTTATGACATCATACTTAGAACACCAATAATATTCGATAAACATCCGCTGTGCACCATGTTACCATTTTTATATATCTATTAACCTCAAGAATTTCTTTCTCTAATCCATGGTTTCTTCAAATGTCCACGCTGTTTTGTGTAGAACTCCATTAGCTGTTTGTTGAAATTATCTTTAATCTCACTATATTCAGACACATTTTGCACACTTTCAGTATTTGTTGTAATATCCAATATTTCTAGCGGAACAGACAACGTTGTTTTTAATTTTTGTAGTAACAGCTGTTACTGTGAATGACCGATATCTGGCGAATGTCAGCATTCACACAGTCGTTTCGTGTATGTACGAAATATTTGCTAAATATTATTATTTCTCACTTACATCGGCAAATGTCGACATTCAGCACGCACTGATTGTAAATGTTGAATAAAAATATTTTTATTACGTTAAGACAAAAATGCAACTTTTTAATATGTCAGAATAGGAGAAAGCTTAAGTAACAGCACATGTAAATAAACTGTTGAACCTAAAACAAACAGTACATTCTAAATCATTAAAGAAAATAATACAATAATAAACTTACATGTAATCTATGTGATTAACGTTATACAATCTTATTTATTGCAACAATTTAAACTGTTGTGACATTTTGAATTGCACAAGAGTCCCTTGCATTTACAACTGCATTTATTCGCGGAACACTTTTTTCTTACAATGACAGCGTGTATAGCCTTGCCCTCCACTTTTCGTATTAGCTGCAGCTGCTTCTCTCAGCGATATTTCTTGAGAAGAAATCTCATCTATGGAAAGTAACTTTTTCTTTACAAATTACGAACTGATCACGTTATTACGTGATTACGAACTGATCTGTCAATGGAGTCTTTTATTCGGATATCGCCGACGCCTTACCGACGACCCCTCTCATCCTCCGCCACTCGACCTGACAAACCGATCCCCACTTCACGGGATCAAAAGACCTTGTCCTACCTCCGGCTACCCACAAAGGATTTGGCGACAGACTATCACCTTTCTGTCGACATCGGCTTCTCGGGTGTCGTTTCGACCTCCACCAAAGCTTATCTGTGCTTGTCGACATACACCGGCGATTNAGATGATGAGAACAATGTACAGTAAGGGCACAAAGTGTGAGATTCATAGAAAAGTTTTCCTAAGAATATTTCCAATCCTTTTCGCACACAAGAGAAAATGGGTTAGGGGGCGTTGGGTATAACTTTATGGAACAAAGGGGGCGGTGGATCGAAAAAGTTTGAGAATCACTGTTCTAAATCATTAAAGAAAATAATAAATAATAAACTTACATGTAATCTATGTGATTAACGTTATACAATCTTATTTATTGCAACAATTTAAACTGTTGTGACATTTTGAACTGCACAAGAGTCCCTTGCATTTACAACTGCATTTATTCGTGGAACACTTTTTTTTGCAATGACAGCGTGTATAGCCTTGCCCTCCATTTTTCGAATTAGCTGCAGCTGCTTCTCTCAGCGATATTTCTTGAGAAGAAATCTCATCTATGGAAAGTAACTTTTCTTTACAAATTACAAACTGATCACGTTATTACGTGATTACGAACTGATCTGTTAATGGAGTCTTTTATTCGGATATCGCCGACGCCTTACTGACGACCCCTCTCATCCTCCGCCACTCGACCTGACAAACCGATCTTCACTTCACGAGATCAAAAGACCATGTCCTATCTCCGGCTGCCCACAAAAGATTTAGCGACAGACTGTCACCTTTCTGTCGACGTCGGCTTCTCGGCTGTCGTTTCGACCTCCATCAAAGCTTATCTGTGCTTGTCGACATACACCGGCGATTGTTCGAATGTATAATAATATAACCAAATATTCGGACTTTCACCGACGTATTTTGTATGTGTCGACATTCTCTAATTTCGGTCTTTCACAGTAACATAGCTAAAAATTTTCTAAAGAGAAGCCCCAAAGTAGCCAACTCAAAAAAGATTCACTTTTTGTATATAAATAACCTGAGATTTAACGATAAAATTACGAAACACACCTTTCATACTTCTCCAGCAATAACTTAAATGACAGAACAAACGATTTAGGCTCAATTTACAGTGCTGAAGNTGTCACCTTTCTGTCGACATCGGCTTCTCGGGTGTCGTTTCGACCTCCACCAAAGCTTATCTGTGCTTGTCGACATACACCGGCGATTGTTCGAATGTATAATAATATAACCAACTATTCGGACTTTCACCGACGTATTTTGTATGTGTCGACATTCACCAGAGAATATCGACATTCTCTAATTTCGGTCTTTCACAGTAACATAGCTTAAAATTTTCTAAAGAGAAGCCCCAAAGTAGTCAACTCAAAAAAGATTCACTTTTTTTTTATAAAAATAACCTGAGATTTAACGATAAAATCACGAAACACACCTTTCATACTTCTCCAGCAATAACTTAAATGACAGAACAAACGATTTAGGCTCAATTTACAGTGCTGAAGCAGGCTTGCAAATTGATCCGAAAATAAGAATCGAAAGATTGAAAATACAGGCATACCTCGACTTACGTCGGTTTCGAGTTACGTCGTTCCCGATTATACGTCGCTTGTTAAAAAAGTATATGGAAAAATAAAAATCAAGTTTAAGTCATTTTATTCGACTTTACGTCTGTCCGCCACAAATATTGAAGTCGTAATATCACTAGATAAACGTTTAAAGCACATAAAATCATATTAAAATATATACAAGTATGTACTGTATTTACAGTACACGCATTCGTAAATTTAGATTACTTTTTTTGTACTATATTAAAAACTAAAATTTATTTGTTTGTAAGCTTAAAATAGATTTTTATTAACCATATATTATTTAAAATGCTTTCCTAGTGATAAGTAGATTCGGAGACAGGTAAATTCGACTTACGTCGTTTTTCGACTTACGTCGTTTTCCTGGAACCAATTACCGACGTAAGGCGAGGTATACCTGTATATAATAGCAGGGAAACTAAAAAAAGAGCAGATGTTAGGAAATTATCAGAAAAATTTATTCTGTTAAATTTTCTGTAATATTTTTATGTAAATAATTTATAATCTCTTGCTTGTCAACTAATTGTTTTATTATTTTTTCATTTTACTTTCGAAATCAGTTTGTATTTTTTGTGTTTTATGTCCATCGATACTTAAAATGACAATAATTTTTTTTAAAATAAATTTTGCCAGATTACATACCGCTTCGTTACTTTATAACTTTTATGTTGTTCATGGGTTTGTGCATTACATACTGTGCTCGTGGTGGACTGAGTATTGCTATAGTCGCTATGGTAAACATCACTAAAAATTCGACTAGACACCCACAAGATCGTTGCCCGATATCCGAAAATGGATCGACTTATTCATTTGAAAATGTAACATTTCAAAATTTTAAATTGAAATATAAATAACATCTCACATATAAATGCTTATCTTTACTGATTTTTCTTTCTAGCAAGGGGAGTTTTATTGGGATCCTTATTTACGAAGTATCATTCTCGTATCTTTCTTTTACGGTTTTATACTAACACAAATACCAGGAGGATGGTTATCGGAAAAACTAGGCGGAAAATGGTTTTTCGGGGGAGGAGTATTTTTATCTTGTTTATTAAATCTTACGTTTCCTGTCGCTGCCCGAGCAGGACATAACATTTTTATTGTTGTCCGTGTACTGAGTGGATTCTTTGAGGTAAGCCGTAAATAAAGTTTTTAAACTTAAGGAATACTAATTTCCGTTAATCTTAAGGGTGTGACATATCCGGCCATGTTTTCCATGATGGTGCATTGGAGTACTTTGAAAGAACGGAGCCTTCTGTTAGCCATCGCTTGCATGGGAGGAAACGTAGGAGCAATCATTGCCACTCCTTTAGGCGCATTCCTTTGCGAAAAAGGATTTGCAGGTGGATGGCCATCGGTATTTTACGTATCTGGTAAGATTATATGAATATCAATTAGTATGATTGTAGTTTAATTTTGACACAGTTCAAATTTTTCAGGTGTTTGGGGATGTTTGTGGTTTCTCGTCTGGGTCTTTAGCGTTTTCAATAAGCCTGCAGAACATCCCTGGATTAGCGAAAGAGAAAGATTATATTTACAAATAAATGCAGACACAGCGGAGAAGGTGAATATATCTTTTATTTAAAATTACGATCTGGTAAATCTTATAAAATGCCATTGAATATTTTAATTGCAAATTTCTTAATGTTTTAATAAGTACTAATGAAATTTAATTATTACGTTCTTATGTGTTATCGAATATATAAATTTTATATACCCGGTATATACATATTTACGAACATATACTGTATGTATTCGTAAAGTAGCTGTAAGCTGTCAGTCTATTGCCGTAGCGATTCCAAGTTCGAAGCATGTTCTAATACAGTATTTGTAAGTTATTAGAGCTGTCATAGCATTCTCATCAATGGCGCATTTAGAAATATGGTGTCCCTAGACCTACAACATGTAAATTTTTGTACCCCAAAGGAATTGTGCAAATTTTTCACCGAATGATTCCATTTTATAATTTTAATTTTGTAGTAATTTTATTCTTACTGATTTTCAAATATTGAAAGGGAAAGTCACTGCTACTAATTTTATCATCATATTACCTGTTCTTGCAAAATATATTCATATATTATTATTACTAAAGCTTTTCATTTCTACTAATTCCTTTAAGAATTGTTTCTACGTAAAATCATTTTCCATTGAATTATTATTATTATTTACAATTTTTTTCACAATAACGTTCTTACAATAGCCTTTACACTTAACAAGTGTAAAGGCTATTGGCCTTTTCCGTAGCATAACTTTCACACGCACTGATGGAACACTAATCTTGCTGATTTTTTTTAACTAACTTATTACAGTACTTCCTTTTACGATAATGTTTCCAAGGTATTTGAACTTATGCACTTTTCTTAACTCCATACTTACATTTTTTACAATCTTTACTTGTTATTACGATAAATATTGTTGGTTTTTACGATACGAGAAAATTTTGTAAAGTTGCGATTTTATTTCTTTTTCAGAAATTGCCAATTCCTTGGAAGGGTATGTTTACTTCCATTCCATTCTGGGCTCTCTTCTACGCAAGATTTGCAATTGCATGGGGACTGTTTATTATTCTTACCGAACTTCCATCCTATCTCGAATCAGTTTTCAGTGTGACATTAAAAGAGGTAACACAGATATCCAGAAAAATATTTATAAGATTTAAAAATTTCATGTAAAAATTACAATATATTTTTATTTGTACGTATTTTAGAATGGTGACATTTCTTCAATTGTAAATATAGTTCTCTGCGTTGGAATGATTTTTGCTGGTTATGTTTCTGATTACCTCAGAGAAAAGAAGCGTTTCTCTATTACTGCCATTCGAAAAGGTTTCGAATTTTCAGGTAAATCTGGAAGGATTAACATTTTGCATTCGAATAAATTTTCGAACAAATTTTTAATAAAGAATATTTTGTAGGATTAATTGGCTGCGGCACATGCTTAATAATTATTCCGCAAATTGGATGCAACATACCTTTAATAACAACAGTCATGTCTATTGGTCTGTTTTTCTTCGGTTTCAATACTGGAGGAAGCACACCAACCATAGCAGATATGGCTCCTGACTTTTCTGGTAAGCATTCAACGTAAAATGTTTTTTTATTCGGCCATTTTAATTTGAAATCATTTGTTTGTTCAATTAGGAATTATGTGCGGAATATTGGCAACATTACCAACTTCGGGAGCTTTCTTAGGACCTATGGTCGCTGGTTTAATAACTCATGACGGAGTAAGCTTTTCATTTAAAAGATTTTAATTAAATTTTTTACCTATTTTTATTGATTTTTAAAATTTTGTTTTAATCCAAGGAAACCATTGATCAATGGAATCTGGTATTTTACATCACGGCTGGAATCATAATGTCCGGTGGAACTTGCTTTTTAATATTGGGTTCGGCCGAGGTTCAACCTTGGGCTAAAGTACCGTCAATTATGGATAATAATTCCATTTCGAGTATAGAAAGTAACAAAGTTGTAAATCCTAAATCTTTGGATTGTGTGGCAAGTTTTCAAAACGATTCGGTGAAGTTTTAATGGAACTGGCTGGAGTAAATGAATTATATCAATAATAACAAATTATTCTATTTATTACTATTGTTGTTTTCTATTTTTTATGCGTATTTAGTAATTAAAACAGTAAAGTAGTAAATAGAGTATAATTTCAACGCAAATTAAATGTATTAAAACGATAATGATTTAATATATCTTTCAATAATATAAGAATTATATTATTGAAAGATCTTTTATTATCTACTTGCTGTAACCAAGAGAGAATGATAGAGAAATAAAACAAATTTGATTTTACTTAAAACTATGCATCTTTATTGAACTATAAAATATACAGTAGAGCGTCGATTTTCCGAAAGTCAATCATCCGAAACGTCAATCATCCGAAAAAATTCCAGTCGGCAAATTTAAATTTTCGCCAGTGCTGTGGTGCTTCAATCTTTGGCTATGTCTTCGGCTACTCAAATATTTTACGTTTTTGATACTAAATTAAAATCTGAAGTATAATTTTTTATTATTTTTATATTTTTCAATATATTTATTTTGTTTGTACAAAATAAAAAAATAATTTTTAACGATACAATAGTCTTCGTTAGGCTTAACATCGACGAAAATTCAACGCGAAGCGACACGCAACGGAGAAAAATTTCGACATCGGATACGTTAAACTATTTTTTCGTACGTAAATCAGTTATCCGAAATATCAGTTATCCGGACAACCCCAGTCCCCAATTGATTCGGAAAATCGACGCTCTACTGTACTTTACTCTACATTTTCAGGAATATTTCAGTTTCAATTGAATTTATATGTAAGTATGATGTTGTTTTACAGTAAGTCCGTTAGATCGGGAATTTTGGATTCTAACTGTACAACATAATGCTTTCTTGTTTCACTCGCCAAGTAATTTCAAATGCTCCTAAACGTTTAATACACTAAAATTCAAAAAAATAAGTTAATTCCATTACTACAGTCCAGATTAACTAAACAAGATTTATTAAACTATATTGCAAAATACAATACAATGTATTAAATTTTATTAAATGATAAGAAAAATAATTTTTTTATCACCACCAAGCTTCTTTCACTTAGAAAGCTCAAGTTGCCAAGAATAAAATGTTACAATCACTGTGCATTGAGTTCAGTTAAGTAGGATTTGAATTTAATGTAAATTATCTTTCGTGAAAGAAAAGAAGAAAATGTAATCAACAGTACCGTGCTGCCCGAAAAATATTGAGTTGTTAAAAATAAAGTGAACCTATTTGAAATACAGATTAAATCTGCACCCTTTAGCTCGTGGTACCACAACACCGGGTTGTTCAAATTTGCGTAGACGCACAAATGTACAGTACAAGTATAGGATATTGTATTATCGCACTTTTTAATAGTACTATACCTTTTCTTATTAAAAAGTAAACAATATAGGCTCAAAACTCAACAAAATCCCAGCAATTAAGATTCTTAATAATGCCCTTGTTAGTCAGAATGTAGAAAATTCAAAATTTCAAACAATAAAAATTAAAATGTGAATAAAGAAATTTCTACAAGTCTGAATCGTCATAATCTCCAGTATGAATTTTAAAAGTTAAAGACAAGATTAGAAGGCGGTAGCGTTTTAACGACTGTTCTCAGTGACAATTCTACCAAATATCTTATTCCGTAAGCCAGTTCATTTTATAGGAATTTAAAGGGAATAAATGATTTAAAATTTACACAAATACAAAAAAAATTAACGAAATTATTACGGAATAAATATAAGAATAAAGAAGAAATTATCTTGACATGAATAGTCACAGAAACTAATATGTATGTGCTATCTGAAGAATCCATCGAAGATGCGTTGAGGACAGCTGGTTCTTGGACATTATTCATTACTTTTTCTTTTGATAATATATATATTTTTTCTTTTTTAAGGATTTTGATGCTGTCGAGTGAGATCCTGCAGCCAGTTTGGTTGCAATGAGTAGCGACTGCTGAGTTGGTGTAATTATACTTTACCGCTCTTATATGTTCTTTTATACAGGTTTTTAATACTCTGCTAGTTTCACCTATGTAATAGTACTTTGGATGACACGTACAAGCGAAGCTGTAAACAAGATTATTATTTAATAAAACGTCAGTATTACTATTAGTTTGTTCTTTGGTTTTTAAAAGAAATTTTGATTTTATTGTTTAGTGTGGGTGCTAAAATGATATTATATGGTATTAATATTCTTTAGTTGTTTTCAAAAATAGTAGGGATATAATCTAATTTTATGTAAATTATTTGTGTTTTTGGTTTGGGTTGACCTGAAGAGTGGTTGTGTAGCCATTTGTTGATAATTCTGTTTGGGTAGTTATTTAATTGAAAGGTGCGATAAATTTAGTCTATTTCTATGTTTTGGTTAGTAGTATCACTTGTACGTGTTTTGATTTTGTTAACATACACATTGAATATGTTCTTTTAATATACATGGGTGTGTTGGAGTGGTAATTTATTATTTTACTGATGTCACATGGTTTTGTATATTCATTCATTACCTTCATCTGTATCATACGAGAAAGAATCAGCAAGTACTCCAGAAAGACAATCTAACATCTGCTTTCTGATAAAGTTAACATAGACTTAATTGGAAAGACTGGAAAATCTATATCATTTGCGAAGATTTGCAACTTTTTCGTAATTCTTTCCAGTATTGAGGTACTGTATGAGGCCAGTCAATTTCTTATTTCTTCTCTCTGTTATGTTCTCTCGTTTAATCTCCAAAACGGTGTTTTTAGTTGATTTGACTCATTTAAAATAAAAGAAAAAAAAATCTTCTGATGAAAGTAAAGTCGATCCTCTGTTGCCCAGCTTTTAACGGCTCCGGCGATTCCACAAAAATATAATAATTTTAATTTTAAGTTAAAATTTCTGGAAGAAAATCTCAATAAAAATTTAAAAAATTATAATTATAAAAATTAGCACGAGATGGCGTCTACTTCTAGACAAATTAATTCGTATCAATTCATTTAATTAGCCTTATGATAACTCGATAATTCAACAGTTCATTTGGCTTTAATTAATAATCGAGTTTATGGAGTTGTTGTTTATATACTTGTACTATTATATTTTCTATTGGCAAAAATTTCTCCAACTTAACACAAAATTTTTGCAGAATTTCCCGGAAAATTTAAATGGTTAAAAAGCAACCAAGATCCCATGATTTAGGATCCCTGTAGAGAAACACTATTTCCTGTTATTTTAAACATTTTCTTTTGTTTTATTATTGATTAATTACTCTTTATTAAAGTTTTAAAATGTCATTAAAGTATTCGCTAAATTTTAGAGAAATTCGGCCCTGAGTTCGAACGATGCTTCTGCGTTCGAACTGCGCGCAAAGTTTTAATTTATTACTTAAGTAAATTAAAAGTAAAAGACAATTGAATGCCATTTCATTATTTCTAACGGAAAAATTGATTCAGACTAATGAATAGTTCGAATGGCCTCTTGGAACGAATTAAATTCGAAGTACGAGGCACCATTGGATTGTTTATATTTGCAACATGATTAAGGAAAGCGTCGCAAAACAATGCGAAATGCCGATGTTGGACCCGAAGAAGATAGAGGTGGAACTTTTAGTATCTTTATTCCTATTGAATTCGAATAATGAAGTATTATTACGTGACTTAGTGGCTCACGTGATATATAAAAATGTGTTTATATCACTATAGATCAATAAATAGGTTATTTTTAAAACTTTATTTAAGTTCAAACAATTTTAGAATTCATTTTGTCCACTTCATGTTATATATTTGAATATACACATGAAAATCGAAAGGAAGATTGAAAAAGGAATACAGTGGGTGATAGGTTAACGAACAAATCGGATAACGAACACTTTCGCGAAAGATTTTTATGTTCGGACAACGGACACCTCATAGAACAAACACAAGAAGAAGAGACGTAAAATAATGAATACCGATTACCAATTGATCTTCCCTTGTCTTCAGACAACAATTTGAAACCTTTCGGAGCGCGCGAGACGTCGACATCGACGCTCAACCCGGTATATACTGATCGGATAGTATTCCTCCGAACTTTAAAACTCTCCTTTGTAATTCCAGCCTTTTATTTTTCTGGCAGAAACAATTTTCTTGTAGTATTCCAGAGACTGTCGGGTGGGCACTCGTTAAGTTTTGCGACGGTTTTTATTTTCGAAAGGTGAGAGTATAATAGCAAAGGTAGAGAGTGGGCAGATGTCTGATGTCTGTTGTTGCTGGGCAGTATGGCTTGAACAGGTCTACAGTAGGTCACAGTTCAATCTTATTTAAGAAAGTTACTGTATAATCAAGAAGACTCAAGCAGCTTAAGGAGTAACAAAAATCAGATCTGAGAAATAAAGAACATTGAAGAACTCATAATGGACTTGAAACGGATCTGACGACAGCAGAACGCCAAGAACTCTTGAATGAAGAACACCAAGAAACTCGGCGAGATATGTTTTCTTCTTAAAAAGAGAATTAATATCGATATCTGCTATTAAACATGTTTTTGAAGAAGTGGGATGATGTCAGAACGATGATCTTAGAATGGCATCCAAACCAGGTTGAGGTTATTAGACTTAGGGATCTCTACAATTAAAATGCTATTAATTACTTCTGAAAAATCCTGAAGAAGAGAGAAAAACAATCGACTTTAGACAGATTCTTTAACCCCATAAACAAAAAAACATGACTAATAAAAATGCAAGACTGTGTATATATGTATTTTTATTATTACATATAAATAAACGTAGTAAGAAAGTATATATTTTTTTTATTTTGGGGGTCTCCAGAATGAATTAATCAAATCCCCATCAAAACCTACGGTAAATCGATAATCGGTTAATTAACGAACAATTCGGATAGCGAACAAAGTCTTGGAACGGATTGTGTTCGTTAACCGATCACCCACTGTATCTTGCCATCTTTCCTCTCATTCAAGGCCCAGTTTATTACAAGAATGGATTTCAAAAATAAAAATCAAGGGCTTTAAACCTACGGAAATAAATTGTATTTCTGAGCATTTCGATAAAGAATGTTTTGTTTATTAATTATTTACTAACAGGCAATTTTTGAAACCTGACGCCGTTTCTACTGAATTTATACTGTATTGTGGGAAACAAAACATGAGTGTTAATTTAGAAGAATTTATTTCTGTTGGCAACAAATTAAAAACTTATGTAGTAATATTATATTTATTAAAATCAATGTTTATTTGAACGCTCGGTTGACTTTATGATTTAACGATTAGATATGTTTGATTATAAAATTACTCTTAATTATTAAATAGTAGAAAGTACAATTTAATAGGTAATAATAAGTTTTATTTAATAGATTATATAATTATTTGCTGTATAATTCATATAAAATGATATTATCAATTACTTAAGCTTAATTATCAAATGTAGTGATAAATCAACTTAAAATGTAATAAAATGCAAAATTAATTACATTAATATACAGTACTGAGAAAATTTACATTTCATACGCGGTAATATCTTGGTCGTTCATAGCTTTTACACTAATATTTTATAGAATGTATTAAATTATTTAATATAATTGATAGATTTTAATCTTCTATCCGTAGATAAGCATAATCAGTAATAAGCAATAATAAATTCCGCCCCACTTGACGTTAAAAACAACAATGGAGGAAGAAAATCAAGACTCTCTATTAGATAAACCAAAATGGTCTATTTGGAGTAAGTAAACCTTTACTTATTAAACATACCGTATGATCTACAAGTAAAACATTTACAAGCTAAATTTAACCGAACTTACAGTTCCTAAACGAATTTTATTTAATGCAAATAAAACCAAATATGATCAATTGAGCACAGAATGAATAGCAAATGATATTATTCTATAATCTGTTTTTTGTATAATCTGTTATTCTTACTAATATTCTGTAGTTCACTTTCAGTACTAGTTATTGAATTGTTTGTAAACAAATTTCCATAATTCCATATTTTTTAAATGTATTTGGAACTGCCAAAATCGTCCGCTTTTCGTTGTTCATTCTAGTTTTATAATTGCTTTTTGACTAATTTTTTAGGTTATTTATCATCTACTCTGATAATTTTATCGTCTTTGTTATCTGTAGCCCTAAATTATGTTAGACGTTGAACTTAATGGAAGTTTTAAAAAGAAAACACATTATAACTCGAGTTTTATTTTAATAAAGTAATCGGAAAATTTAATAAAAATCTTATGAAATTTTAATAAAATATCTTTTGACTTTATTTTTAGTTTATTTTATAGAAATATTTCTTATATGTTCTAAAATAATTATTGATATAATAATTAAACGATAATAAATTTTCAAATTAGTATTTGACATATTTTGACTTGGAAATAAAATAAAAATGGAATTAATAATGAAATTTTAAATTTGGAGTAATAACATATATTTTTAATTTTTTTTATAAACTTTTCAGATTATATACCGGCTCGTTACTTCTTAACTTTTATGTTTTTTTCGGGTTTGTGCATCGTTTTATGTTTTCGAGTTGGCCTGAGCATCGCTCTAGTTGCCATGACAAATAACACCAAAACGCCTATCTCCAGCGATCGCTGTGATAATCCAGAAGCCAATTCAACTTACGAATTCCAAAATGTAACATTCCAAATTTACATATTAAAAGGTGTCATAAATATTTTAAGGCAAGTGAAAATAATCGTGTTTTCTTCTTCTATAGCAAAAGGAATTTGATTGGGATCCTTACATACAAGGAATTATTTTAGCGTCTTTCTTTTACGGTTATATTTTCACGCAGCTACCGGGAGGATGGTTAGCAGAAAAAATCGGTGGAAAATGGTTGTTTGGAGGAGGAGTATTCTGTTCTTCGTTATTAAATTTACTATTTCCTGTTGCTGCCAGAGCTGGATACGACGTCTTAATCGTTGTTCGTATTTTAAGTGGATTCGGTGAGGTAAGCTCGACAGACGAATGAGTTTTAATGTTGAGTAGATTTATTTTGTTTAATTATTAAAGGGGGCAACTTATCCGGCCATGTTCATTATGATGGTATATTGGAGCACGTTGAAAGAAAGAAGTTTTCTATTAGGCATCGCTTGTATGGGAGCTAACGTAGGATCTATTATTGCAACTCCCATCGCTGCCCATCTTTGTGAAAATGGATTTGCCGGTGGATGGCCGTCCGTATTTTACGTTCTCGGTAAGACAAGTTTCGTTTCGGTAACCGTTATCTTCTATCAGTTGCGATTTTAAACAGATTTTTGTTAGGTATTTGTGGTTGTTTATGGTTTGTCCTCTGGGCGTTCACCGTATTTAACAAACCCACAGAACATCCTGGTATTAATAATCTGGAAAAAATATATTTAGAACAAGATCCCAATTCCACGAAAAAGGTGAATAAATTTTATTTTATAAAATAGCATGTAAATGAATTAAATATACCAGTTTTTAATAAATAAAAAAAACCCTTATGTATTCAGTTTTGCATTGACGTAAAGATATACTGTATAAAGCATTCTTTAAAAATCTACGTTTAAATTTTAATTAGGCCATTATTTTATTTAAACATCTATATTAGAACTTTCTGTGTATTTATATTATTAATATATAATTTATTATTATTATAATGTAAATTTTCTAATAGACTCCCAGACGTCTATTGAACAGAATATACTTAACTCCGGCGTCTATTTCATTCTCGCAGAATTTCACATCAAAACTAGTGATATAAAAACGGGAAATTACGGTTCTACTTTCCACCATAACCAACTCCGTGGTTTCTCCATCTATTTTCTCCCAAATAATAAAAGCTGTAAGAAATTAACAAGAAAAGCACACTATTGCTCAACAGCATTACTACCGTAAGCATGAAGTTATTGCGATATAAACGTAGCTACGTTTCGTGAATTTTTCTAGCCGCCCTCTATTAGCTGTGAACACCGCGTTTTGCTTACCACTTTTATCTAATTGGGTGAATATTTCTCCTTATCCATCACTATCCGTCTGGAAATACTGTGTTATTTTTCTCTCGCTGTTCACAGATCCACTACAGAACATTCTAATTCTTCGCTGATCTTCTTGCGCCTCCTCTGCCAGCCTCTTTGCTTCCTTGTTATTCTTGATAGCATTAAGAGCGTTACGCTTGCCTCTCCAATCGTGAATCTGCTTTGGATGCACTTTGAATTTCCGCACTGATGCTGCTCCGGACTTTACAGCTAAGTACTGTACTAAATGGCTCCTATTGCATAACTTTTGCGTGTGCAACTGCGTTCAGTTGAAGGCAACGCTGTAAGACCTCTTAGTGGTCATTCCAATCGATGGTTAGTTCACTGATCTGTGTAAAATAAACAGTTCGAAACAGAAAATACAGTAAGATGCGCCTATTGAAGTATTATTTACAGTATATCAAGGATCGCCAAATTAGATTGATCACCCGTCCTTCACCATCCTGTCGTCCCATTCTGGATCTGACCGAACCTGTAACGGGCTTATTAAAAAGGCCCTCTTGGTGCCAACAGGGCAGAGAAAATTCTAAAAAATATTATCAATGCATTTTGTAAGTGTTAGGTTTTCTTGGAATGAGGTGAGATTTAATTGCTTAGTAATGTGATTATATTAATTTTACGCATTTTAAACATTAAAGAAATAACGTTAATATAACAATATTTTCTAATTTTTAAGACAAATCTAAACACGCAGCATTAAAGTGTGAATGTACAGTATAGTATATAAGCAATGTTCGTTGGAATGTTACATTTTCCAAAGTTAGGAGAAATATTGGTTTGACTGTTGCACGCTAGCGGGTGGTTTGAAATTAGAATTGCATTAGTAAGGTTGGCAGCAAAACGTGGTCCGATCTGTTTCTACGGGCTTGTCAACAATATCTGAAGATTTAAACCAAGATAATATTCAATACGGTCTATAGACATACAAGGTGCATAGAAGTAATAGAACATTTGTAGCGCTCTACAACGCTTTAAACTTAACTTCAAACATACATCAATATTGAGAGTGCACAGGTTGTCGTGTGATTGAAAATCGTCCAAAGACTAACTAGTTGATATCTAATTCGTGCAAACAAAAATCTTATATCGACTAAAACTGACGTTTTTAATATTACAGCGCTTCAAACATTATCGTGTTTCTTCTGACCCATCCTGTTTTTCGTAGTCCAAATGAAACCAAATCCGGTGTAGTGAAGTTGTTTTAAGAAAACAACGGCAATTCGGCGAAACTTCGGGAATTTCGCTGTCATAATAGAATTTGCGTATCAAACAAACTTTCGTATTCTTCATCGATCTACTTTAAGGCTAATTAATTAAATAATTTGGCTAGAGGTAAGCGGTTAACAATTGATTGCCATTAACTCGTTTGGAAACTCAATTTAGAGGAATCTTAAGATTGACGACTCCTAGCCAGCGCTTATGATTTAGTTTATTAATATTCAGTTACTGTAGTTGATATTTCATTGTTATACAATGATTATTTCTTTACAGCTAAGTACTAAATGGCTCCTATTGCATAACTTTTCAATTGATTTTCATTTTACTTTTGAATTTTCTAATTTTTATAGTGCGTACAAAATAAAATCCAATAATAATTAATAGATTTTAAGCAATACAGACATTTTTTGGGAGTAAAACCAAAATGTTTAAAAAATTTTATAATACAATAATACGTTCGTTTTGACGGACGTAACCCAGTTTGTAAATTTGCTTCAAATATACAGTATTAATATTTTCGTTATAAAATTAACTTCGTAACGTTGTTGTTGCATTTCTTTTCAAGCAATTACCCGTTCCATGGAAGAGCATATTTACTTCAATTCCATTTTGGGCTCTCCTCTACACGAGATTCGCAAATTTTTGGGGGTTGTTTACTGTTACTGCCGAACTACCTTCATATCTCGAATCAGTTTACAACATGACTTTGAAACAGGTAATTTTCATAAAATATATTTCATGTATTTTTTTTAAACTTATGTGAATTAAATTGTATTAATTTTAAACAATTACAGAATGGTATCGCTTCTGCAATTATTTACACATTCCTCTGTCTAGGAATGATTGTTTCGGGTTATGTTTCCGATTATCTTAGACAAAAAAGGCATTTTTCTGTAACTGTCATTAGAAAGAGTTTCGAATTCGCTGGTAAGATCATAAAATGTTTGTGAATTTGTACTTTGCATTCAGAGCAGCATATTCCTCCGAATACAAAAGTACAGTACAGTACATAAAAAATTACAGTACATTCATAAAAAAATCTCCCTATAGGATTAGTTGGTTGTGGTGTATGCTTAATTGCTCTTCCCCGAATTGGATGCAACATACCTTTAATTATAAGTATTTTATCTGCTGGACTATTTTTATTCGGATTCAATACTGGAGGTAGCACTCCAACCATCGTGGATATGGCTCCAGATTTCGCTGGCAAGTATTTAGAATAAAATTTTGTTTTATTTAAAAATATTTTAAAAAAATTTTTTTTCCAAATAGGTACTATGTGCGGATTATTAGCAACTTTGCCAACAGTCGGTGCTTTCTTGGGTCCTATGGTAACTGGTTATCTAACTCAAGAAGGAGTAAGTTCTATTAAAAAGGCACCGTTTTAAAAAAAATTTCATAGTAGTTTTGTAATGTATTAATTGCAATTGCTTCTTTAAAATTGTTCTTACTGAAGTACTTTATTTCTTTACTTTAAGCAAACGATAGATCAGTGGAATTCCGTATTATATATTACGGCTGGAATACTAATATCTGGTGGAATCTGCTTTTTGATATGGGGTTCGGCCGAAGTTCAGCCATGGGCCAAATATCCTTTTATTATACAAAGTTCACCATCGTTAACTGAAGAAGAAATCAGTAAAGAACGTAATTCTGATTCTTTAAATTGTGTCGCAAGTTTACGCGGACAAATACAATGACACAGTTATTCTTATTTATGATATATTATTTTAAAATATTGCTACTCCAATGGCTTGTATTGTTTTTATTTGATAAGAAATAGTTCAATTAAATACAACAAAGAAAATGAAAAAAAATATCAAAACTGTTTTGCCTTCAAGAAAATAGTGATGTTGCTTCTTGATTATGAAATTATTTAAATTTCTATTAAGAAGTCTCAAATTTTCTTTATCTGATCATGAAATTGTATTTTCGTCATACTGTATATATGTAAAATTATAATTTTTATCTGTGATACATTTTTTTTTTTGTTTTAAATCTAAATTATGTAAAAAAGTCAATATTAAACTATATTAATTTATTATAATAAATCAAAACTTGAAATAATAATATTTAATTTCCAATATACAATAATTTATTATAGTATATTTTATTATTGAATTTATACAATAAATTATATATTATAACTTCAAAAATTCGAGTAATTTTCGAGTAGATATTATTAAATGAACATAAAGTCGTTTGTCGTTCTACAATTTATCATAGAACTCGTTACCGCGCTGGATGAAAAAAAAATTATAGCTCTGTCACAAGTTTAATCTTAAAGTGCCAACTTTGACCCTTAATATCGCCACGACCAATGAACCGATTTTGATTAATTTAGTGTTCATGATGAATACTATGGATGTCTTAAATTTTGAATAAATTTGTTGTGTCAGTTGGACTTACGCGATTAGCATTTTGTCTCCTAGATTTACAATGAGAGAAAATAGCGACACGAAGTTATCGAATAATCCAAAAAAGTCTGCGTATGTCTAATAGCTCGCTGGAGAGCTGACCGCTTCCTAAGACCCTTTTGAAAGTTTTATATTAAAATATTGGGTATTTAAATAGGCTGTTTTTTTCCTCAATTTCCATGGTTCATAAAATAAATTCATTTTGTTAATTACACTTGTCTTTGTTTTATGAACCATCGGAGGTTGAAAAAAACCCGACCTCGTATAAAATAATAGCCCATTTTAAAAATTTTAACATATTATTGGTCAATCATGTACTGCAGGCTATTACGTGACTAGCAAGTGTAAAAATTTTCAAAAAATTCTATAATTATGATGTTATTGGTGACTGAAAAATACTTGAAATCCCATTAAAAGTATAATATATAAATATAAAATATACAGGGGTGTATTTTTTATCTTGAGACATTGAAATAACTTAATTGGATCTCATTATTTTGGAAAAAGGTATAAACAAAAGTTGTAGGGTATCGAGGGGCCAATCAATTGGTAACCTCATATGTGACCTTGACCTCCAAGGTCATTTGTAGGTCGTCTGTATTTTTAATGGGAACACACATTTTTGATCCCGGAAATGGAAAGAGCAGGAAATTTCACAACTGGATGTACCTTTGACCTTATTGTCTAGGTCAAAGGTCAAGATTATTTTAAGGTTAAAATTATAAGTTTTTTCTAATGGGAAACCATACCTTTTATTACTGGAATAGGCAGGGACGTAAAAGTCACATTTAAAATTACAAGAAGATAGTGATGTTGCTTCTTGATTATGAAATTATTCAAATTTCTATAAAGAAGCCTCAAATTTTATGTGCCCAACCCCCAAAAGACCCACCAGTGGTCAAGCAGACTTCGTATCCTGAACACTGGGAATTCGGTCATGGATTCGCGCTTCGCTCGAACGGGCTGGCCACGTGGAGTTTTCCGGGTTTTCTCCACGTCTGTAACGCCTAAATAGGGACCAGTTTCCCTTAAAAGACTTTCCGGAAGGCATCCCCTAGGCAGATCGTCCAAGTGTTGCGTTGCCATAAAAGCAATTGCAATTTAACAAACAACAACCCAACCTCCTAACACCCGAAGCAATTCCAAATATGTCGTTCAAAGGAAAATTGTTTTCTTGGATAGTGTGCAAAATTTCAAGATTTTCTGTAATGCGGTTGCCGAAATATAAGCAATTGAAAAGTGCAAAAGTCTCCAAAAAACTGTTTTTAAAGCTTTTATTAAGTTACTCTGTCCGTCTGTCTAGGTAAAAAGTTCCAATGTATCAATTTCCCAATTTCCGATCTAATTGAAACTTTGCACATGTGTATTGCCAATGGCAGTACATTTTTTAATAGTTTGCAAGCATTTTTTTAACAATTAGCAAAAAAGTAGCGTATAACTAAAATTTGCAAGTAAAATCTGATAACGGTCGTATATGTGACTATAGTTCGTGTACTTTGATCATATTGAAACGTGTTTCAATTACAAACTATTTAAAATAAACGTTTGTTTTCGTTATATAGGGGAAGGTGGGGCAGGATGATGACGTTAAGGTTTGAAAAGTCATAAGATGGCAACCACTTTAATGAGAACAAATAATTTTTTTATTCTCAGCAACTACAATATTTGGTAATACAGTATATAATACAAAATGTAATTTTAGAAAAACGTTTTTAAAATCAAGAAAATTTAATATTTTAAAATTATACGTAATCATCATCATGCCTCACCCGTGGGGTAAGATGAGTACATTCATAAAAAAATCTCCCTATAGGATTAGTTGGTTGTGGTGTATGCTTAATTGCTCTTCCCCGAATTGGATGCAACATACCTTTAATTATAAGTATTTTATCTGCTGGACTATTTTTATTCGGATTCAATACTGGAGGTAGCACTCCAACCATCGTGGATATGGCTCCAGATTTCGCTGGCAAGTATTTAGAATAAAATTTTGTTTTATTTAAAAATATTTTAAAAAAATTTTTTTTCCAAATAGGTACTATGTGCGGATTATTAGCAACTTTGCCAACAGTCGGTGCTTTCTTGGGTCCTATGGTAACTGGTTATCTAACTCAAGAAGGAGTAAGTTCTATTAAAAAGGCACCGTTTTAAAAAAAATTTCATAGTAGTTTTGTAATGTATTAATTGCAATTGCTTCTTTAAAATTGTTCTTANCACGGGTCAACTTTATTTCAAAACTAAACAATTTCAGTCTTAAAGGTTACTTCGAATACCATAATATCTTCATCTAAAAGGTAATGTAAAAGTTCACAATGATGCTTACTTTGTAGAAACTTTGTAGCGGGCGTAAAATTAGATGAAGTACAGTATTGCCGAAACATGGAAAACTGTCTTACTTCCAAACAAAGAGAGCGATTCGAACGTTCTCTCGTCCCGTGATTCATTTTGAGGTTGACATTTAATTTCCCAAATAACAGCTAAATGAAAGAGCGTTAACCACGAATAAACAGACGTCCCCGTCTTACCCCATGGCCCCATATTGCACCACCTTCCCCTACTTCCTTCTTAATTAAGAATGACTGAACGGTTTGGAGTGTGATATTGCAATATAAACAGTTGCGTTCCTTTGATTTTTAATTTCGGCAACTTGATAATCAATTTGGCGTTCTTAGTTTATTTTCGATCGCTTCCTCACCGAGGAAAATTTAGAATTTTTATTCAAAATTTTTGTGCAGCATTTAATTAAAATGAGAGATTTTATTTCTAGTTTTTAAAATAAAGCGTTGTAAAAAGAGTATGATTACATAGATTAGAGTACGAATTAAATTTTCGTTCATTAAAATTTATTTACAAATATAAATTATTTACATTTAAAAAATTTTAATAAATTTATTTATAATAGTCTATCAAATAAAATGTAATTTAAATAATTTCTTTTCATTTAAATTTTGTAGAAGATTCGATATTTAGAATACATTCGGTTATGCCAATTAGAATTAATTTGTTAAGCGTGACTTTTTAAACATTTGTAGATTTTTCTTTTTCCAAATCAGTTTTGTTCTCTTCTTAATACAAAGATATCCAGGGAATAATAATAGTTCGAAGAAAATGTTCACTTTATTTGTAATTGAAGTAAAGTATTCGTTTTAGTAATATTGTTTTAAGATAATTAAATATCATCTGCCAATCATCTGGTTTTGTATTAACAGTACTGTGTAATTAAAACTATTTTTTCAAGATAAATAACGTACCGGAAAAATTTAATTTAAAAACGTAGAAAATATATGTTGTTTTGATAAGCACATCTCAAAATGTGTCATTTGGTGCTTAGGACCGTTCTCCACTATTGAGACTAAATATACGGCGGTTCTTAACCAGTGTTCCTCGTAACATTAGCGTTTCGCGAACTTGTTACGAAGAGTTCCGCTAAATTATGAATGCGGACAAACTTTAGCGTAAATTTGCAATTTACAACGCAGACAAGACGCAATTTGTATTTTGCAGTGAACTTATCTTGTTACCCTTGTAAAGACAAGAAACTCAAATATTATATCTAAGCAATGTTTTTCCCCTAGATAATCCCTACTTTCAAAAATTGCTGCAATGTTAAAACCTATACCAGACGAAGTTGTACAAATCTTATGTGAGGTCCGGAGAAATCGAAATTATGTTTTGAATAATGTAAATCCGACGCTACAGTTAAGCTCTCACCTTCCAAAATTAAAACAAAGCAAGATTTAAAGTCTAGTTTAACAATAAAAGTTTTATACATCAAAGACTAGCGAAAAACAAAAGACTAGAAATGCGGGAAGAATATCAAAGTTTGAAGAAATTTTTGATGATCGGGAATCGGGTTAAATGTCGAAAAAGATTTCGCCCCCGAAGGATTTCGAATTGTCACCGGGAGACGATGGAAGACCAATCGGAACGCAATAGAAGAGAGAAACTTATAAAAACGTGTGTTTCAAGGACACGACGTTCTTTGCTCCAAAATTTGGTTTTCCGTGCAAATCCGCTGTTGGTCTTTTCATCTATCTCTGAGATAGATTCGCTCTCCTGGAGTTGTTCGCACTCTTGAAAATTCATCCTTAATTGAAGAACTATCCTTTTCAAGGCTGTACAGTGCGCCCCGGGGCCGTCGACAAGAGACAGAAGGAAGACACCCTACAGTGCATTTGAACTTTCCTGGGCTCTCTCCTTAAGAATTGTGGCAAATTAAAAACTTTTGTAAGAAAACCTTTATTAATTAATTAAATGGTAAAAAGATGGCAAGCCTGTCTTTGTATTTCATGCATAAACACAATTGCCTCGACCCCTCGACCGTCCCGACAATCGCACATAGTCGGAAAGCCTTACACTTACATCAATTCAAAATCAAATACAATTACATCAAGTCAAAATCATTCAAGATGCTTTTTCAAAAATTTTGAATATCTATGGAAGTTCAATATAAATCTTTGCTTTTGCACGCTGAAGTAAGATTCTTATTCAGTATTGTATCCATTTTTAGATCTTAACAATGAATTATTGGCCTTTTTCTAAAATGAAATTTTAGAAAAAGCTTTTTACAAATGCTTTTATAAAATATCTCATCAATAAAAATGATATTTTGACATCCACTGACAAACGTTCAGCATTTCAGAAAAAGTATCTCTGAAAAATCCCATATTAGGAAAAAAAATATAAACTTCATAATAAAAATGTTGAGAGAATTATTTCCATTATAATAGAACATGTAACACTATTGAAAGAAAAGATTGCAAGTTACTTTCCTTCCTTAAATGTAGAAAATTATTACTGGATACGAAATCCATTCGGCGCAGTTTATACATCAAGTCGTGAATTTGAATTTTCGATACAAGAAAACTTTTCAACGAATGATACGTTAAAGATGAAATTTTTTTAAATATTACACTAGAAAAGCAAAATTTTTCAACTTTATTTATAAATATTTCTAATATAAGCCCACCGGTGGAAAAAGGCACTAAACACTAGTTATCGCGGATTCGCGTCTCTCCAACGGACTGGTCTCGAATTTTTCCAGATTTTCTTCACGTGTCTCACACCTAAATAGAGGCCAATTTCCGGTGGAAAGTCCTCCCGGAAGGCATTCCATTTGGCAGATCGCCTATGTATTGCGTTGCCTTATTTTCATCAATCAAATTCTTCCAATACCTCTTATAACAATCACTATAGATTCGTAAATGAATATCACTAACAACCTTAAACAAATACAGGAATCCCTAGTTAATTCAAACTCGAATAGTTCGAAATCACGTTAGCTCGTAAGTGGTGTACTTATGTCCAGGCCGGAGATAAAGAAATTTACACGTTAAGGAATTCGGTTAGTTCGAAATACGGCTACTTCAACATTTGAAGTGAAAATTCTGTCCGAACTGTGATATGCATGTGTTAACTCGTTCGTTTAGATCAGCGTTTCTCAAAGTGGGCGATAACGCCCCTTTGTGGGCGCTGGAGGCTTTCAAGGGGGCAGTAGAAGGCTCAAAGAGAATTGGGGGCGTTAAGGAAATATAGAGGGGCGACGGCAGACAAATTCTATATATAAAAATTCGACGGAATATTTATAAAATGTTGTCATTTTCTATATTTTTTATTTTTTATTGAAGGTCACAACTTGAATATTTCTAATACATTGACTTTTATTTTAGCTCAGCGTTTCTCAAAGTAAGCAATAACGCCCCCTTCTGGGCGATGAATAGATCTATGATAGAGGCAGGGTATTGAACGGTGACCAAAGGCAAAATTGGGGCTGATAAGAGGAAACATTGCGTTTAATGGTTTCCAGATGGTGAGAACAATGTACAGTAAGGACACAAAGTGTGAGATTCATAGAAAAGTTTTCCTAAGAATATTTCCAATCCTTTTCTCACACAAGAGAAAATGGGTTAGGGGGCGTTGGGTATAATTTTATGGAACAAAGGGGGCGGTGGATCGAAAAAGTTTGAGAATCACTGGTTTAGATCGAAGTGCCTCCATGCTTTAAGAGAACAATAGACTAAGAACAACTGTAATCTGGTTTTTAAAATGTGTTACTGTAAAAGCAAAGTCATATTGCTTTTACAATAACGAGTGTCGAGTGTCACATTACATATAGATTACGCCTTTTTTCTCTCATTTCATGAAATACGGCTGGGTTTCGTGATTGCAAAATTCGGCTACGAGTAGCATATTGAGATATTTGTAGGACTATAGGTTACTACTGTTGGGAGAAAAATAATCTGGGCTACATTTTGAAGAAGTTTGCTTTACTTTTTATAAAACCTGTCTGGCAACCTGTGAGGTTCTCACTGGACACATGCTATTTACCCGCGGTTTATTTATATTATTATTAATTATTAATTAACGAAAATAGCGTACTGTGTAACCGTATTCCATTCGTTTAATAAATTACATCAGTTACGTGGCATTTGGCAAATTATACAGAAATATGTAAATCTCGGATAATTCGAAGTCGCGAATATTTCGTCCCCTGAATTTCGAACTAAGGAGGATTTCCTGTAAACCATAAATTAATTTTATGTTATAAAGTATAATTTTTTCTTTTATAACAACCGTTATAAATTCAAATTGTTAATTAAAACAAATTTTGAAATACAGTAAAATAAAAATTAATTTATTTTGATCAAATTTTTATAATAAAATTTAAGAACTATAACATATAGACAATATATATGTTATAGTTCTTAAATATAACAAAATTTATATTTTGTTATAAATATATATCGTATGCAATACATATTATTGAAATGCAATAATATGTATTGCATTTCAATAAGTTATAAAACCAGTTATTTTAAATAAATTATGATTAAGATCAGAAATTGTCGTCCAATCGCAATAAATCAATAAATTATTATAATTTAGGTGATTTCTTTTTCTTTATATTTAAATTAAAAACTTTCTTCTTCTTCGGTTTATTGGCTTTCTTCTTGGTTATTTTCTGTATCCTAGTTGTCAGATTTTCTATACTAGTACGCATCTTCTGTCTTCTTGGGATTAATATGATGACGATACAAAACAATATGACGAAAGGTAATAACGACACATAATACCAAACACTGAAACCTCTTCTTGATTTACAAATTCCATCACTATAAAATGAACTATAAAATTAATAGGAAAATGTATTAAAGTGTCAATTTATTTGTATAAAATACTTTACCTCGAACATGTTCCGTAATTATTATCACAAGGTGATCCCGCCTTTTTCAAATATAATTCGTATTTTGAAGTAAAAAAGTTAAGTGTTTTAGCACTTTGACAGATTTTGGGACTGCTTTGACAACAGATGTGGCATTCCCAATCGGGAGATGAACATTCGCAAACTTTTAGATTATGATCTTCACAAATATTACTTATGCATTTACCCTTTAGACAAGTTCTAGATGTGCCAAAGCAGGGTGTTCCATCACTTTCGGGTAATCCGGGACAGAATGGTGAATCTTCGTCACATGTACCAAACGCTTTAAAGCAAGACTCTCCACTGACGCAAGTTCTATTTACTTCGTTTGAAATACGACAAGATTTATCACAGCATTCTTCTACCCCGGGAGTACATTCTTTATCTTTTTGAAGAGTACATTGTAATGGAGATCCTTTAATGTTGCAGCAATTTTTAACTTCTTCACATTCTCCAGTGTCAAAATTACAATCACAAGACTCCCCTTCTTCCACAATACCATTTCCACAAACAGACTTTTGCATTATCTTCAAGCAATCGTCTATTCAAAAATTTATGGTAAATGTTAATAAGCTTAGGCTATATATTATATAATATAT